AAAGGGTCCCTATGGCCTCCTCCATCAATGCACAGCTAAGGAACCCTCTCCCCACATCTTCAGACAAACTGTTGAGACCCCAGTACAGCTAGAGAACCCTCTCCCCCACAGTCTTCAGACAAACTGTTGAGACCAGTGGCTGATGGCTGGACCCAGCTGCTGCTGCCTCTCAGCTGATCAACCTGTCTGAAGACTGACCTCTCTGGACCCAGTTTCCCCAGATGAACCAGTCAGAGGCCTCAGTTTCCTCATCTGCAAGTCTTCAGAGTGTGTGAGGCTCAGGGAGGCCTTCTCTGACATTCTCTGGGCTGCTAACTGCCATTCGACAGCAGCTTTGAGTCAGTCTCAGAGGACGGGCGTGGGATGTCACATCCTAGGGAGACAGGCTCTGAGGAAAGATGACAACAGGCCAGAACTACCCGTTTGGGAACCAGGGAAAGCTTCTGGAAGGACAGGACACCCCTCCCTCCACAGCTAGGTTCCCAAGATGGGAGTCTAACAGGTGACAGTCACAACCCTTTAGTCAGGTCCAGGAGGAGCCAGGGACATACAATGCGGTGTGGCAGAGCTTAAAATGGAGGCATGAATGCGTCTGAAAAGGGCCACCAAGAGAAGTCACCTGTCAAGCTCAAGGGACATCATAATGTGTTTTCCAAATTTCTACACCCACACGTTGACTTCGAAGAGGACACCACTCTCAGAGAAAACTCCTCTGCCTCATCAGAACCTTATCAGTGGCCCAAGGCAATCCCATTTGTCCCCAGCAAGCCCCCTACCTCAGAGTCACCCTGTCAGCCCACAACAAGCCCTCTGTCAGCATTAATACATCAGCAGGATGAGATAATAGTTAAGCAAAAATGAACACTGCCTCAATGTCACCTTCATCCCATCACCATCATCAGCATCACAATCATTAATTACTGTCAATATCATCATCACCCCATTCCATCACCACATCATCACCATCACGAACATCAACATCACCTTCACCCTCACCAATGTCATCTCCATTACTATCACCATAATCTTCCTCTAAACCAATATCCCCATATCCATCATTATCATTATCACTATCATCAATGTTACTCGGAGCAACAGTGTCATGATGGGGGAAGTTTTCTGTACATATGTTTCTCCTAATGGTTCATGAATAAAACACTGTTGGCCAATTGGGAAGCAAGACTGGCGGGACTAAGAGACAAGGAGGATTCTGGGAGGAGTAACATGTCTCCGAACATTTCTCCGGTAAGAAAAGACCACATGGAAATACTTAGATTGATAGGAATGGGTTAGAAATTAAGTCAGAGTTAGCCAATAAGAAGCCCTAGATAGTGGCTTATGAAACCAACAGTTTCATAATTAATATAGTGTCTCATGTGTTATTTGGGGGCTCTGAGGTGGCTGCGGAACCGGGCAGGAATTCCTTCACAGTGTCACCCTTGGCAGAGGGTGTGGCTCAGTATTACAGCATTTGCCATGTGACTTGCACAAGACCCTGGGTTTGGTTCTCAGCATTGCAAGAGAAAAGAACAAAAATGAAAAAGACCACCTCATCAACACCTGCCAGCCCTGACACCATTACCACAGCAGCAGCAGTTAATGCTTGTGTATTCCACTCTGCATGCCAAGCTACGCGTTCATGCTGTAAATACATTAACACACTTAGCCCTTGCCTTCTACAAAGTAGCTGCTAGAATGATGCTTGCTGCCCACACAGAGGTTGGGTGGCTTTCCCAGATACATAGGCAGTGAAGCCCAGCAATCTGGCTCCACATCTATTCTTTAATGACTCTGCTCAGCTGAATTAGGACCATTCAGAACATAATAGACAGCACTGACCACAGCAGACACACAGCAATGAGCTCACCACACGTGGGCTCTCATCCCAACTCTGGCAAGGTCCGTCTCTCTCAGATGGCCTCTGGACCATTTAGACCAGGAAATAAACATCTGGGTGGTCTCTGAGCTCCCTCAGGCTACCCTGAATGTGGCCTGTCAGTCCCTCCAGATGTGCGTGCAGTCTTCTGGGGGTAGCCATCTTAGGATATCTGATGGCCCCTGTGTTAATATTCCAGCAGGATGGGCTGATGCCAACCAATGCCTGTGTGTGAGTCTCCAGGAATAAGATACCTAGGGCAAGCAGGATGGGTCCACCCAGGTTCTCAGAACCTGGGCCAAGCAGCTCACAGTGTGATTTAAGATTGTCACTGATAAACAACTTCAACCTGTGGGGCACCGCCGACTGAAGGGCAGGGATGCGTGTTTCCACGAGCATCACCTCCGAGGTATGTGGCATTGAGGGGGACTCTGAAAGCTCTTTACCATTCACAGCCCCCTGGAGCTTGCAGCTACTCTGAAAACACATGGTACCAGTTAACACACTCATCTGCATGTGGGCTGCTGGGAGCTATGGACCAAGGGAGGAAGGCTTCACACACTGCACTGTGTCCAGCCTAGTCTCCAGGGTGAGTGTGGGGGACAGTCTGGGTCTAAAAAGAGACACCGATGCTTGTTGAGGGCAAACCATCGCCCTGTATGAGATGAGCTGATATGCAGCCTTTTGCAGAGGCCAGGCTATTCCCTGCTTTCTTCTCAGATGACACAGGGTCAAAATGACACCACCACAGAAAGGCTCCTCCTAGCAACCCCCATGCTCCCCACTGCCCACTCATCGGGGTTTCTCAAACTGCTCATTTGAACTCCAGTCTTGGTTGGGGAGTAGACTCAAACTGAGCATACCTCACAGGCCTGGACTAGCGTCAGGCTCTGCCCCAGGAGTTGGGAGCAGAATGGCAGACTTCGTCAGTGAGGTGCTCCTGAGTTCCTGGAGGCACAACCGGAGACATACGACTTGAGGAGCGTGGCCCTCAGCACCCAGCCCACGTTAAACAAGGTTGGGGAACAAGACATGAAATTAGAACCCAGAGTCAGAAAAGCAATGATGGAAGGCAGCCCAGGGGCTTCTGGGATCATACTGAGTGCTTAATGCAGATGGGTAGCATGTGTATTCCTGAAGGGCACTCGAACTTCCTTCTGGGGCAGACGTGGACAAAAGGTCCACAGAGCCAGGTGGCCAAGCTGGCTGGGAACATGAGTCTGGCTCTCGGGCAGGGACATAGCTCAGTTGTGGAGTGATTACCTAGCTACAGGGAGCCCTGGGTTTAATCCCCAACACTCTATCAACCAGCTGTGACAATACACACGTATAGTCATCTGTCATCATGGAGGTAGAGGCAGGGGGATCAGGAGGAGTTCCAGGTCTCAGCCTGGGACTCCATCAGTATGGGGGAACCCGAGCTCTAACGGGCTTCAGAGGGAACAGAAGATGAAGAGAGTCTGGGAGTGGAGGACAGCAGGAGCTGGGCTTCCAGGACAGGTCAGCTCGGTGTCTTCAGCTAGGTTGTGACAATCATGCCCTCTCTTGCTAGAAACATTGGGTCTCAAGGTCAAGGAGAAGGTCAGAAATTATACACTCACTGTGGCACCTGGACCACTGAGTTACACTAGCTTCCCTCCCTCTGCAGCTCCTAGGAACCCTAGCAAACCAACAAGGTGCTGACACTAAGCAGGGACCATGGAGATGCCATCTGTTCAGTTCTCAGACTGTAGAGACTGAGTAAAAGCATTCCTGGGGGTGCTGGGCAGCTGTAAGGCCCCAACTCTGGGGAGCCTGGCCACAAAGGGCAGAAACTCATCCTATTGTCATGCAATGTTTCCCCAATGCAACCCCACACTGAAAACTGAGCTGCTGTTAGGGCCTAGACAAAGGACCAGAACTCTGGGTTTTAATCCTGTCTGCATTTCTGTAAAACTTCGGAAACTTAACTATCTGTCCCTGCCTCGGTCAATCTTCCTCTGTACACTGAGGGTAGATGGGAAGGTCTAGGTCAGGGGTACAAGGATCAGGGAGAACAGCTTTTATGCCCTAATAGCCAAGCTCTGCTCAACTCGAATGGGGTCAAAATGTCCATGAGATCTTTATGGGCCGATATCTCACCAGGCTCAGACTCCGGGCTCCCTGTAACACAGAAGCTTCACTTTTCTCTCTGGGGGAGGCAGTTTCTTTTCTTTCATTTTTTGAGATCTAATGATCTAGTCCATGTTAGTCGCAAATCCACTGTGTAGCCCAAGATGACCTCAGCCTATAGATCCACTGCCTTGAACTGTTTCTAGTCTATTTTCTTCCTTCCTTCCTTCCTTCCTTCCTTCCTTCCTTCCTTCCTTCCTTCCTTCCTTTCTTTCTTTCTTTCTTTCTTTCTTTCTTTCTTTCTTTCTTTCTTTCTTTCTTTCTTTCTTTCGAGACAGTGTTTCTCTGTATAGCCCTGGCTGTCCTGGAACTTGATTTTGTAGATCTGTCTCTGCCTGCCAGAGTGCTGGGATTAAAGGTGTGTGCCACCACACCTGGCTTGCCTTGGACACTTGAGTGCTGGGATTTCAGGCATGCACCACATGTCTGCCCTGGGGAGTGGGTTTCTACTCCTGAACCATCAACCCAGAACTGCAGGTGAAGTGAGGAGAGGCTGGACAGATGGATGAATGCCTTGAACCACAGACTCTGTCTATGATCTGGGGCTAGAAAGAGGAGAGCCAGTTGAGCCAGTCTCACAGCCCAGTCCACCCATGGGACAGGTCCCTCTGCAGAGGCTACACAGCGTGGCCTGGAGTCTGAAATTAGGGATTCAAGAGAGGAGTCATCCTGGGATTTTACTGCTCCCATGTGTATTCAGGACCAGACACACAAATAGTCATTTGGTTTCAAGAAACGAAAGGGCTAACACTTAGGTGAAAGCCAGGCACTTCTTTTTCCATCTTTAACCCTCCAGGCGAGCAGCTATGTCTCCTGGAAGCCTGCAGGCCTCTGAAGAACACAGGATTGACAGAGCCCAAGTTGTCTGTGTCCACAGTGCTGGGATGTAGGGATAGCATGCTAGCATACCACAGGCAGGCTTCAACCACCTCCCTGTGGGGCCAGCTTGGTGGGGAGGGCTGAGGGAACTCACCTTCACACTGCCTCCCTTCCCCCTTGTAGCCTGGCTTGCAGAGACATTTGTAAGACTTGGGTGTGTTCTGGCAGATGGCATCTATGTGACAGTCATCTGTGCCCTCCGAGCACTCATCCACGTCCACGGCTCCTGTGGGGGAGGGGAAACTGCAGGTGAAGCATGCTAGGAAAGACATCTGAGACCATGCTGGAAGTTCATGCCCTCATCCTACCCTTGACCACTGGGCTAACTGACATTAAGTGTCACATAGCAAATTTGTGTGACGAGGGGCAGTTTCTCTGTGCCAGGCACATGTCACAACACATCTGGTCTTCATTTTCTTAACAGTTCCATTAGGTATGGCCGTTATCCTCACTAAGGTGTGGAGAAGCTGAAGGCTAGAGACACCAGAGAGAAAAACCTCTCTGTGGAACTTGGTTTCCTTAAAGGCATCATTCCAGTCCTCCATATTCCTCATTCCAAACAGGCCTCAGAAGAACTTAAATCGAGTCCCTCTGGGTTGCAGATGAGGAAACTAAGGCAGAAGGGTGTGCAAATATTGAGCAGAGCCTGGATGTGGGATCCCATTGAGCCCCAAGGCAGTAAACTGTGGGGAGAGTCATCTCCTGGGAGCCAAACCAGAGCAGAGTTCTTTTGCCCAGCCAACCCAGGCTCCTGCCTCAGAAAGCCAACTCTCATAGCCTAGCTTCTAGACCACAGCACCATCCAGGCTCAAAGGGCTTGGTATACCCCAACTATGTCCCTAGCACATAAGTACAGAAAGCTATAGTCATGGTTATATAATGAAAAAGGCTTCTGTACACACATACACACCTGATCTCTCTCTCTCTCTCTCTCTCTCTCTCTCTCTCTCTCTCTCTCTCTCTCTCTCTCTCTCCCCCCCCCCCCGTCTCATCACTTGGTTGCTCGCTCTGAGTTTACTCAGGGAACAGTGGGAACTTTAGGTTTAGACCGGGGATCTGAGGCAGTGGTACCTGCTACTGGACTAGACCCCATCACAGAACAAGCTTGTGTGGGCGTCACTCTCCTTCCAGCTGGCTATGACCACCACACAGATGGACAGGCAGAAGGACTCAGGTGAGCAGACAAGGGACTTGCAGCAGCTGCCCTGAGGACAGCCCCCTGGGAGGCTCCAAATGTCCCCATCTCTTCATCCATCTGGCCTCACCCTAGACTTCATGGTGCCCAAGAATGCTCACTTTGAATTCACCCTGGCTGGACACTGGCCTCCAGCTCTGTGCCCCACCCTCACCCAGACCCCTCTTCCTCACCCCAGACTCCAAGGTTCCAGCTCACCAGAGGGAAGACAGACACTAAAAAGAAACACAGCAGACTCCTCCCTGAACACATTTACACATGCAAACACACAGGCACGAACATGTACACGTATGTAGCAACCCCTTCCAAGGCCAGCCACCTGTGGCTCAAGTGTGTGGTCTAGCTCTACAGATACCTAAAGGCAGTCGGCAAGAGCCCAGAGGCAGGCAGCTTAGTAAACCAGAGAATGCTTGCCAGGGTCAGTGGAGAGTTGTGGGGGAGGGGTTTTCTGGAGAGCTGACCACTGAGGGACCACCGCTTCAAGGGCAGGACACCAGAGAGGACCAGACCACATGGTCACCTCTAAGAGACATCTTCTACTTTCCATGGGTCAGGGCATGAAAGTGAGGTACAGGAAGTTCCCTGGGGGTTTGAGATCCCTTCCATCTCCCACCTAAGCAGGTGAGACAGAAACACAGAGGCTTGGAAGGGGTGGGTGGGGCCATCTGTCTTTCGAATTATAAACTTGGCCTGGGAGCAGGGGAGTTTGGCTGAGGCAGGCTGTAGATTCCTGCACAGCTCCCAAACACAGGCTGCTCACTTCAACCCTGGTTTTCTTACTCTGAGGTCAGCTCCTGGAATTCTACAGTTATCAGGGGGACACAGAGGGGACAGGGAGGCACAGGCAGATAGACACCCGAAGGGACAGAGAGGAAGGGAGAGGCACACAGGACAGTCCTACAAAGGTGAAGAGCCCCAACCCCCGGGGTAAAAACGCCCACAGACATGTCTAGTACCACCCCCACCCCCATCCCCCCACCCGGCAAAGGCCCAGATTCTGGAATAGGGGCATGGAAGAAAACTTAGTGCCAACGAAGAAGTAGCATGGCCTAGCACAAACTCCCTGGCACTGGATCTGCTGTGGGATTTTCGCAAACAGACCCCATCCCTCCAGAAACAGACTTGGGGAGACTCTGCTGGAGTGCAAGCAAGGCAGGACCCTCTCCAAGGAGAACCAGGAGATGTGAAAAGAGGACCGGGGTGTGCAGCTTTTCCCGAGAGCCCCTTCCCGGAAACTCAGGTCAGGGAGGGACACCCCCACCTAGAAGCTCCTTCTGCCCTGACCTACTGGCTTCCTCCTGTACCTTCTGTCCCCCTCTCTCTCTGACGTCCTTGACACGAAGTCCTGGTTTGTTGTGCGATTCGTGTTCTCCATCCACCTCCTTCCCTACATCTGTCCGTCTCTTCCCCCCCTCCGGTCTGACAGTCCATCTGTCCATCTCTTCCCAGACATCTCCATCCTTCCTCTCTCCCTCGGTCCCCTCCCTCGGCGCCGCCCCTCCGAATCCTCCCGTTTCTGGTGTCCATCTGTCTCCTCCTCTCCGTCCTTTGATCTGCCTTTCTCCTTCCCGCTGTCCACTGCCTCCTCGCTCCCCTCCCTTACCTCCTCTCCCCTCTTCCCTCCCGCGGCTGTCTTTCTCAGGGCTTCTTCCTGGGCCCTTTTGTCTGTTCCCTCTGCGCCTCGGCTCCTGTCCGTCTGTCCCTTCATCTCCCCACCTCCCCTCCAGTCTCAGAGCGTCCTTTCTGGATACCTCCGGGTATCTCCCATGCGGCAGCTGCCAAGCCCTCGGTCCTGGGGGAGCGCCGCTTTCGGCTCGGGGGTCCCCGCCCGTCTCCGTACGCATGCCGGGCCCCGCAGGCGGCCGTCGCGCTTTCTTTCTTTCTCCAGCCACCCGCTTCCCCTCCCGGGGCCTCAGCCCACCCCGCCCCCGCCGGTCCCGGGAGCTCCCAGAAGTTACTTTGCAAGGAGGCAGAACCCGGCACGGGGCAGCCTCCGACGGCGCGGGGTGGCAGCCCCTAGGTCCCCGCGCGCCTCAGATCCCCGAGTCTTCGCGCTTACCTGGGAGCCCGCTGCCCCCCACCATCCGCCCGTGCGCTCCCAGGGCGAGCAGCACGCACAAGTGCCAACGCACGGCCGCCGCGCCCATGCTAGCAGCGAGCCGCGCCGGGTGCCGGCGTGCGGGGCACGGGACGCACCGAGCGGCCGCTCAGCGAGCGCTCCTGTCTGCAGCAAGCTCCGCTACCGCTCCGGCTCCGGAGTCACCCAGCCGGCGCGCAGGACAAGCTGACAGCCGCGCGCTCATTGGCCCGCGGCCGCGAGGGGCGGAGCTCTGCGGGAGGCCGTCCAGTGGGCGTCGGGTGGCGTGGCTTGCGGGAGTCTGGACCCGCCCCCTCTCCCGGGGCGGGCAGCAGGTGGGGGGTGGGAGCCGGGCGAGCTGGGGTCGCGGTGCAGGATGTCATCCAGGCCGGGATTGGTCCCCAAGCAGTCCATCGCCGGCCCCGCTCTGTGTCCTGGGTCCCCAAGGAACAGGGTAGCTGTTCCTCGGGCACAACACCCCTGGACCCCGCATATACACAATCACACAATCGGGGAAGTAGAGGTGGAGAAAGGCCCAGAGGCACCGAGGACCGGTGAAGGCGATGCTCGATGCACGCCGCTGATCCACAGGCATTTATTGTGTCCCTAATGGGTGCCAAGTGCTGCCAGGGCAGCCGCACACTAGCAGGCATGGAAAACTCTAGAAGATAGTTTTAGGATTTGCGCACCAGATCAAAGGAACTTTTCAGTACTGCCCTGAGGACAATGGTTATACAAGTGCTTGTTTTTGATAGCCAGGCAGCGCTCCTGGAACCGTGTTCCCGTGGAGTGGACGCGCGATCCGGCCGGGTTCAGCAGACTCTCGGTTCCGAGATGCTTGCTACTCCGCCAAGCCCAGGTTCTCGGGTGACAAGCCCGATGGGGCGCCGGGGCGCCGGGGGGGGGGGGGGGGGGAGGCGGTCGTAGTGTCGCGGTCACACTGGCCCAGAGCCTCCCCCAGCCCTGGCTCTACACCTGACCCCTCGGCCTTGAGGCCTGGAGAACACTCAATGGCCGCTCTCTGCTCCGGAGGCAGGACGCTGAAGAAGTTCAGCAAACCCCAAGGCCCATCTCCTTGACAACCACCAATAAGAGCTCCTGTCTCCTGCTCTCCAGACTCAAAGACCAGACTTTTCTCTTTTTTGTCCACTCTGCCTGTGCACTATTGCACCCAGCGGTTCCCTTTCGGGCCGGCTCCCTGCCCCCAACACACAGTATGCAGCCACCTCCGTGGCCCAGGAAGGCTAAATCCATGTCTCTTCTCCTACTGCTCCAGATTTCCCGTGGGCTTGTGGCACTGGGCTGGAGGCCGATGCAAGGGATCCGTGCCCACACTGTGGAGAAAGGACTAACTAGGGAGGAAGTGGCCCCGGCCTCTATTGTTTCCCGTCTCCTACCCTGCCATTGCACGCATTTTCTTTCCCTGGTTGTTCCTGGCCATGTAGTTTAGTTTGGGGAACCTCGTTACCACGCCTATTCTCTCAGCTATACGGCTTTTGGATTTTTTTTTCTCCCTGTGCATGAGACATCAACGCAACCAATCTGTGTTTTCAAGGGGGCTTCTTAGCACCATGTTTTCCCATGCGTCTTCCTCAGGGGCTTCCATCCCCACTCAGGTATCCTTAAACACAAGAGCAACCCTGAGACCTTTCCAGTTCTACCTTTCAATATTAAGGTGGGTTGGGGGCTGGGGTTGAATTGGGAATCCCTACAGCCCCTAGAGACTCTTTCATTAATATGAAATTTTTATCTGCAGTTTGTCCCTCAATAGCCTTGGAGGTCAAATTTGTTGATAACCTAATGTCCCTCAAGTGTGCAAAGAAAAGTGGCTCTCTCTATGAGCCCATGGCACGGGTGGCCGAATCAAAGGACAGTGGAGGAAAGGAGAGGGAGAAGATGTGTCTAATTCTCTGACCAAGGAGATGACTTATGCTCCCAGAGCAGAAAAAAGACATGGTGGAGGCTGGTGTGACTGCTTCTTCGGTGGGTAGTATAGATGGGGCCAGCATCCTAACATCAGGACTCTGGCAAAGGATGTCTCGGCACACCTCCATATTGAGCTAAGAATGTAGAGGCCACTGCTTGGGGGAGCAGACTGGGCTCCTTCATGCACAGGCTACCTGTGTGGGCTCTGCCTGTCAATCAGTGCACCTGTGCCCTCCACAAGTAAGGCTGACTGGCAGACAGCTTGCCTTTTGCACCCTAAGCCCGATGTCACTCCTCCAAGACAGCCTTTATCCCCTCCTGCCTGCACCCCAGTCCCTGCCCCATAAGTTCCATGCAAGACCTTCAAGCTCAGAAAATAACCGTTCCCCACTCTCACCCCCAGTTCCTCCCTGTCACTACCCGTGTCCACCCAAGATGGAGCCCTGAAGGTCTTGTCTGTGAACATAGGTCCCAAAGGGAACTAAATCAATTATCATCAAACAAATCTGTGCATGAATGAATGAATGAATGAGTGAGTGAGCAAATGAGTCAATAAATGAACAAATGGTTGGAACGGTTGTGAACTTCTATTGCTCTGTTGAGCTGACTTTGGCTGTGCCAGGTCCTTAAGAACGAAACCAGCTGTTGTCTCTCCCCTGCACAACCCCACTTCCTGTGCCCTGTGGGGAGGCTAGTCTGGCCAGCATTACCCCAAATCTCGAGTGCCCAGAGCAGTCGACCTGAGACTTGGGGCCCTTTGGCTCCCCCCTGGTGACGGCTCACTAAGGTGTTCGCCTTCTAGGTTTGTCCTCTGTGAGTCCACCTTGTCCCTCCATGACAGAAAAGTCCTGGCCTGGACTCAGATCACAATCTCAGCGCTGACCAGCCTCATAATGGTGTTCCCATCACTGACATCCCTTCAGCCTGGGTTCCTCAGCCTGAATGGCCTCTTGGAGTTGGTGGGAAGATAGAGCCAGGCAAGCATGACGCAGGACCTCTCTGAACTTTAATCTCCTTCTCAGTAACAGAAGGGCTATGCTGGCGTCTTCTGGAGAGGAATAAATGAGACACTGGACCTGAATTCCTCAGAACCGTGGCATGTAGGGGGCTTTGTGCTCCTATCAGGGACATTATAATCACCCCCCCCCCGCTGATTCCAATAGTAGCAATAGCCACCAGGTTATAAATGCCTTCCTTTGGCACATTTTTTATCAGGAAGGGTCCCCTGGGTTAATTGTGAAAGTGCTTTGAGATACAAAGTTCTCTGGAACTGTAAAATGTCATCATACAGATGTCATATTTCTGTGTGGATGAGTTTCAGGGCTTTCCCCTTTTTTTCTAAAAAAAAAAAAAAAGAATGAAATGGAAAGAAAAGGAAATTACCCCTTCCTCCCTTGGCTGTCTGTGCCCCTTTGCTCTTCTATGCTGGCTTTTCTGCGGTTCCCTGTGCAATCCTGGTTCACACATGTTCTTTCTTGGGCTGGGCGGGGTTGTCAGACAGGGTCTCAGTCTCCAGGAACCTGTCATCTAGACCCAGAAATGACCTGGGGTCGTGGCCCAGGTCCTTCTTCCTCTCTCATTAGTGAATCCCACCATCTACTCCCCGTGACACGGAGATTGCTGCCATCCCCACTGAACACCTCAGAAAAATGGGTCTGAGGTTGCCTGTCCAGGATCACAGAGCTAGCAAATGCCAGAGGTGGGATTTGAACCTGGGTCTGTACTCATGCTCATATAACAGAGGGATGAAAGGGGAGAGGGGTGGGGTTGGAGAGATGACTCAGAGCTTAAGAGCACTAGCTCTTCTTCCAGAGGTCCCGAGTTCAATTCCCGGGGTAAACACTATTAACTGCAAGACTTTGGAGTTTTCTAGTTCTGTTCCAATATTGAAAAGAGTGATTTCCATATGGTACCTAAATCATAGCAGTGTACAACCTACCTTACTGACTTGAGCTTACCCAGTTCTCCTATCTACCACTTCTTCCTCCAAGCTGTTGGAATATTTAGAACCATCTCCAGCACTCTCAGGAGGCAGAGGAAACAGGATAACACCAGAAAGGCTTCTCAGAGATGCCTAAGTGCAGCAGGAGCTCATCCTATCACTTCATGGGGTGAGGGATGGGGGCACACTGCCTCTGTGGGACACTCATGAACCTGACTTGTGGCTGCAGGTTCACAGACCGATGGACGTGAGGACTGGAAAGCTGCAAACACGGTCAGCAGACAGCCCAGCCTGGGCTCCTCTGACACGGGGGAAACTAAGATCCAGTCTCACTCAGTCTATTGTTCTTTGGGCATGTCAACCCATTGCTATCTCAGAATATCAGACTCCATTCAGGGACCACCAAAAATCGTGCCTCCACACACACTCACACTCACACTCACGCATACCAGGCAAGGCTGCACCCATGGCCTCTCCTCTCCCTCCTCTGGCCATTGGCTTTCTTTTCTTTCTTTCTTTCTTCCTTCCTTCCTTTCTTTTTTTTTAAGATAAGTTTTCTCTGTGTAGCTCTGGCTGTCCTGGAACTCAATTTGTAGGGCTCGAACTTGCTGAGATCTGCCTGCCTCTGCTTCTCAAGTCCTGGGATTAAAGGCGAGCTCCACCACTGCCTGGTGTGACACCAGTTTTCAAGGCCAGCATGAGCATTCCTGACCTCCCGAGATGGCCCTGGGCCTCCCTGTCCTCAATTCCTGTTTCTCCCTGCCATGCTGTCTCCCTGCCATGCTGTCTCTTTTCTGGGCTACAGCCCACTCTCTTCCCTTCTCTCACTATGCCTTCCCTGTTCCCCGCCCTGTCTTCTGAGCTCAGTGTTCCCTGTATGCGCTGTGGCAGCCTGACATTAGTAATCTCATCTTCCCTTCAGGTTATCAGACACATTGTCACCTAAGGTCACTTTCAGGCCTTTGCCCCAAGCCTCCCAGGTCAACAAGTGACTGTCTGAGCCATTGGGCAAACAATTAGTCTAGTCAAAGGCACGTGACTAATTCACACCTGTCAGTCTCTTGTAAGTGGACCTATGGGCATGGCTTCTTTCCTGAGTGGACAGGCGCTGCCCATTTCAGAGAGGAGGGATCACCAGTCAGTGAGAATCAGAGGATGATATGGGAGGCTGGATCAGGGAGAGAGGGAGGAAGGAGGGAATGAGAAGGGGGGAGGGGGAGATATTAGGGTCTAGGTCACATCATTTCTTTTGCTCTTAAAGAGGTTGCATTTGTTTCTGCCACTTGTATTCAAGCCCACCCTGCTCAGAGTAGGAGACCTGTCCATGAAATGCCACTGTCATCCAGTAAACACTTTTCATGTAAACCCACAAACAACCCACTCGGTAGGTAATCTGGAGTGTTAATAGGTTCAGGGATCCATCCCACAGCTCCTGAAGGTGCCTGATCTCTTTGCTGCTGGTCAGGAATAACTGTCATGGACAACTGGAGTCTTTTTGAAAAAAATGTTCTTACTTTTTCTTGTTCATATTTTATTTACCTGAACCCCAAATTCCATGATTTTGCCAAGTGCCTTAGAGAAGTTAAAAGGAACAGTAAGGCTTTGCTGAGACTTGAAGGTGTGTGTGTGTGTGCTCACACATGTGTAGATAGAGGACAGTTTGTAGGAGTTGGCTCTCTCCTTTCACCCTGTGGTCCCAGGGATCAAGACTCAGATATGACATCCATCACCACCTGACCAGGAAGGACTTGCCAACAGGCACCATTTCACTTGAATCTCAAGGACAGTGACATTATGAGCCATGTCTTCCTGCCCCTTCAATCAGTGGGCTTTTGTTTCCTCTCTGGGATTCTGGTCCCAGATAATGGACTTCCCACAGAACCATCAGGTAGGTAGTAACTGTCATCAAACCACTGATGCTTTATTAGAGTGACATTCATTCAGTCATTCAACATCCAACAAAGCACCCAGTGCACACCACACTGTTCTGGGTTTAGCTTCTGCCTGTGGAGCTCACAGTCTAGTGCAGCATGGGAGTTAAGAAGAGAGCATCATCTTGAAGTGTGGGGCTGGATAGGAGGCTGGGACTGTGCAAGGAGAAGGAGCAGGGCCTGTAGGGTGTGTGTGTGTGTGTGTATGTGTGTGTGTGTGTGTGTGCATGTATGAGGGAGAATAGCAAGTGGTACCTTGTAGGATGGGTAGGAGCTCAACTGGCGGCTTAAGGGCTGAGCATCTGGAGTGGAGGAGCAGATGTATCTCAGAACCTGAAGGTTCAGGGACAGAGCTCAGACCCTGAGCAGGGCTGCCCTGATGCATCAGTGGGAGCCAGGGAAAGGCTTGGGCAAGGGAGTGACATGATAGAAGAGTGTTCTAGAAGCACCCTCTGGTTTGGGTGGGGAGGCTGAGGTTAAGGTCCAGGCTTTGGTTTGGCAGCATCACCAGTCTCCTTTGGGAGAGTTCAGAGTCAACGCAAGCTACTTCTCTAGGCCTTCGGGTCAAACACACTTGGAATCCACCCATCTAGTACCACAGCCTCCTGGAGAATCATCGGATAGTGAGGGCTTGGGGACATCTCGCAGCAGAGGCATCTGGGATTGTTTGGTCTCCTTGTACCCACATTGGTACCTCTCTATTTTAACCACACAACAGTTATTGAGATTCTTTTATAGAGCTGGGGATATAATTCAGTTGACAGAGTGCTTCCCTAGCATGTACAAAGCCCTGGATTTGATTCCCCATCATCACATAAAACTTGGTGTGGAGGTACACTTAATCCTGTAATTCTAGCACTCAGGAGGTAGGAGTAGAAAGATCAAAGGTTCAAGGTCAACCTGGGCTAAAAAGAGAATTTGAGGTCAACCTGGGCTACATGAGACCCTGCCTCAAAATAAATAAATAAATAAACAACAATAGTAACAAACAATCGCAAGCGTAAGCACCAGATAGGTCACCACTCAAGCAAATGAAGGGGAGATATTGATTTGTTCTTCCATGGACAAGGTAAAGAGCTTGGAAGGGGCAGGAAGGAGCAACTTTGAGGCTCTGAGTTCTTGAACTTTCCAGCGGCCAGAGGAAAAATTCCAAAGGACCTGAAGAAACTGGCCAAGGATACCACCTGCCAGTATCCAGAGTGGAAAGTGATCAGAGGCAGAGCAGGACTGAGGAGGACAGTTTAGCTTCAGCCCTTCCCCAGGGTCAGCTATGTCAGCAATGAGACAGCCAGTTCTCCTGTGGAATGACAGATTGCAAAGACCAGTAACACAGTGCAGACTGAGTGGGAGAGGAGCATTCTCTGGCGCTGTTGGTGGGAAGTGAATTGGAATAGCCTCAGGGAAAGGCTTGGACCCTTCATGGACTTAGAGCTTGCCTAGCATGCACAAGGCCCAGCTTTGCCTCCTATTACAGTTCCCCACTATTGCAAATAAATGAACATACCTAAAATTAATAAAATGCCCCCAAGATTTTTATTTTTAATTGTGTGTGTGTGTGTGTGTGTGTGTGTGTGTGTATGCACATGAGTGCAGTGTCCTCAGAGGCCAGAAGGGGGTGTAGGATTCTCTGGAGCTGGAGTTAGAGGTGATCGTGAGCCTCCTGATGTGGGTGTTGGGAATGGAGTTCAGGTCTCATGGAAGAACAGCAAATGCTCCTAACCATGAACCATGTCTGTCATCTTCAACGAAATCGAAATTCATCCACCCCCTGCGTGTGTGTGTGTGTGTGTGTGTGTGTGTGTGTGTGTGTGTGGTTTCAGTGTGATGCATCCAAATGTTAATAGCAGTTTCCTCCTAGAGTGGGGTTTAGCAATCCTTATCAGGAACTTGACTTTAAGTTTTATGCATTTCCTGTGCCCCTGGAGATAGAATCCAGGGCCTTGCATGGGTTAGACAAAGCACCCTACCAGAGTTACACAGACCCCAGCAAAGGACATGACTTTTCCCTGCATACCCGTGTGGGTCATGGATCATTTTGAAACTGGTTTTTGCAATTAAAACAATTTTGAAAACCCTTGACAATAAAATTCATCCATAGAGGCGCCTAGCACAAAGTGGGTGCTCACTAAGCATTCATTGAGATCAGGGACCTGGTGCCCTGGGCCACCCTCAGCTTGGATTTAAGACTGGGGATGTGTGCCTGGAATGGAAGCTTCACCATGGTCACCACATTGCTCTGGGGGATTGCTGGAAGGGCCAAAAGTCTGTTTGACTGACCACAATTTTTATTTGTGGGGAGATGAAGACAAAGTAAAATAAAAACATTGTGAGCAGTATAACCTTCTTCTGTACACTGTTGGGGGACCCTGGGGCTTCAGGCAGGGGGCCCTGGCGCCTCCACAATCACAAGCCCACAAAACAAACAAACGGATCTTGGGGACAGACAGGGGGCATTATGCAAGGCCCCCTCCTCCCCGGGGCTGTCACTCCTGAACCAGGCGCAGACCCCCGTCCCCTTGTACACCAGCTAGGAGACCCTCCCCATCCCCCAGCCTCCTCCTCCCTCTCCCACCTCCAGCCCCTGCCAAGGACTTTTTGAAGTTGATCAATCAAACATGTTTTATTTTGGGGCCCTGTTCCTGCGAGGGAACTCTGCAGCGGCCTTCATTAGTCCCACATAGTGAAAGAATAGAACGGTTCGAGGAGGAGGGGAAAGAAAGGAGGGAAAATTAGAGTTAGGTCTGCACACTTAAAAAAAAAAACAGAGGAGGGGGTGGGGTGGAAGTGCGGGTTTGCTAAATAGAGCAGGCTGCATTCAGGGAAGGGTTCCACTCAATCCTCTTAGCCTGACAATGTCAGACTAGGACCAGAGATCGGCTGTCCAGCGGCCGGTTCCTTGGGATGGAAGGGCAATGGGCTGTTTAAATTGCTACTTAGGGTTCCAGCTGTTTTACCAGGGATTTGCCCAACTTAATGGCTCTTTAAGGCTTTAAACGAGAAAATACGTCTTCTCAGGACTCAAAGAAGAGGCTCTGGCCAGCTCAGACGGCGCCCATTGTCCCCAGCTTAAACCCTGGGCGGCCCTCACCCCTTCCCCCTCTGCGGGCGGGCGCAGACTTTGTCCAGCTCAGCGGCGAGACGATTTATCCTTTTCACATTCTGGGTCTCCGGGCCTGCATCCAGGGGACTTCCTAAGTACTTACATGAAGGGGCGGCCGGGCTGCTTTGTGCACGCCCCAACATCTTGACAAGTAAAGATGACAGTAACCACATCTCTTTAGGGAGTGCCTACTGTGTGCCAGGCCTTGAGTTTGGCACTGAAAAAAATTTTGAATTTTATTCTTACCTAGATCTACAAAGGAGGTGCTAATGATGAGGAAATTGAGGCATGGGATGAGGGACCACTTGGCCAGGTTCACACAGAGGCACCTCTCAGGGGTGACTTCCACAGGCTTGCACTGCCACAGGTAGCTAGCCATGGATACTTAGGGAGTTAGCAAGCCCAGTAGGGGACTCCTGGGACAAGGGACTCTAGGTTCATTTTCCTGAATGTAAGTTCTTAGAGGCTGTTGGGTGGGCTTTCGAGGAGGCTGAAGGAGTCAGTGCTTAAGGAGAAGAGGGGCCAGATACACAGGAGTCAGAAGGTGGAAGGTTCTGACCTTAGCTGTCTTTATCTGGAAACCACCCCCCTTCTAGCACACAAGACATCTTTACACGTATCACAATTGAACCCCAGTACGCTAAGACTCAATCATTAACTTTATGCTCGCAAAAGTCATGGAAATATATCACATGGAAACAGACAATGCAGACATCTAACCACGAATGAGGAGGGCTGGCCAGGTGGCTCCGCAGGAAAAGGTGTGGACCTGACGGCTCAGGTTCAAGCCCACAGAGGTAGAGGGACGGAACCGACTCCATAAAGTTGGCCACTCCAACCTTACACACACACATACACACTCTCATATTCACACATTCACACACATACACACAAGACAGAGGGAGAGAGGGGGAGGGAAGGAGGGTGGAGGAGGAAGAGAGAGACAGAGACACAGAGACAGAGACACAGAGAGAGAGACAGAGACAGAGACACACACACAGAGAGACAGAGACAGAGACAGAGACAGAGACAGAGACAGAGACAGAGACAGAGACAGAGACAGAGAGGGCAAGCTATGACCATGCTGAGACTCACCGGATCAGAAGACTTCAGTGGTGACTCGCAGATAATCGATGTACAACTCTGTAGCCTTTGATTCCAGCCTCAGGTCAGAGGCAGTTGTTGGAGATGGATGCTGAAACCCTGCAGGTGAACCAAGGCCAGGAGGAAAGAAAGCCCTCCCCGCAACATAACGTGCATGTTTAAAATCTGTTTGTGGGAAACGGAGACTGTGTGTCTGGCCAGACCACAGAAGGAGGCTGGAGCCAGAACCCTGAGCCTCAGGCACTCAGTCAAGGGGTTGAGTGTAGCTTCCCAAAGCCGTGGGGAACAAGTTCCATGCTGGGGCCTAGATCAGTCCCCAAGGTCAAGTACCTTGTGCCTCAGAAACCAGGAAGGTAGACCTGAACTCCAACACGGCCCGAGACAGGAGAGCCACACACTTCCAATGGAGGAGTTGACTTCAACCTTCAGTGGTCACAGCTGGGGATGGGACCAGAGCCAGCTCTGCCCAGGTGGTGACAGGTTGGACGTCCCAGCTGCGGCTGTCTTTCAGGTTACTGCCACCTGACTCCTCCACCCCAGACACTCAGAGCTTCAGTCTGCTTTGTGGTGTGCTAAGTATGTGTGAGAAGCAGGGTTATTTCAGTCCCCTAACCCCCTCCTTTTAATTTGCTGAAACAGGGTTTCTCTGTATAGCTTAGTCCTGGAACTCTCTCAGTAGACCAGGGTGGTTTCGAACTTATGGAGATCCACCTGCCTCTGCCTCCCAAGTTCTGTGATTAAAGTTATAAGATACCACCACCTGACATCATTCCTTTGGCTTTACAGATGAGAAAACAGGGCCCAAAGAGAGGAGGGGACACACTGGGGTTTCATTGCAGGTTAGTGGCAGCACAAAAACAAATTTCTTAATTGTTAATCAGTCAAAGGTTTTATTTCAGGGCGATAGTCCTATGAAGGGGTTCTTCATGGTCTTCATTAGTTCTTACTCTGCCAACACCATCCTTCTGGTGTGTGTGTGTGTGTGTGTGTGTGTGTGTGTGTGTGTGTGTGCTCCTGAGTCACTGGGATGGAACCAGGCATGACAGACTAAGCAAGTGCTTAACTACAGAGCCACAACCCCACCCTGTCTTTGTTGTTTTAGGCCAAGTGTAAAGATAGGCCAGGTTGGCCTCAAACTTGCTATGTAGCTGAGAATGAATGACCTTGAACTCCTCCTGGCTCTGCCTCCCAAGTGCTGGGATTGCAGGCCTGTGCCACCATGGCTGGCTTGTCTTGTCTCCACCTTTTGGAAAACATATTTGACCAAGTGATGTAATCTTGTTTCGAGAGTGGTGTATGGACATAGAAGTCCTCACACAGGACAGTTCAGCGTGAGCTGGGTGTTTGCTGGTGTCTGTCAGAACTCTCAGGGTGCAGAGATGGCTTGATGGGGGTAGAGTGCTTTTTGTACAAGTCAGAAGACCTGAGTCTGGACCACCAGCATCCTACGTATGAAGCTCGGTGTGGGGCAGGAGCCTGTAACCTCAGAGCTGGGGACAGGCAGAGACAGGCGGCAAGCTCAAAAAGAAGATGGCGAGCAAAAGAGAAAAACAGCTGACATCAACCTCTGGTCTCTACACTCACAGACAGTCTCTCTCTCTCTCTCTCACACACACACACACACACACACACACACACACACACACACACACACACACACACAGTGCTAGGGCTGGGCTGCCATTCAGTGGTAGACCATCTAACAGCAAAGGCTTGTTCACCCAGTGACACATCATTGAGACTTTTCATATAAATCTATTCACATGTGTCTGTAAAACTGCATACCAGCTATTCATTACAGCAATACATCTCATGAGAAACCCAGAAAAAAGCATAAATGGGGACTGGGTAACTATTTTTTTGCTATTTTCCTGTACAGACTACTAAATAGCTATCAAAATACATGGCATAAACCAAAGTATATGTTTATGGTGTTTGAGCCATTTCTACAGACATTTGTGGTTCCTTTTTTCAGGATTAACAGATCTGTCTGTCTATCCATCCATGCACCCATCCAGACTGTGTTTTATAGTGCTGGGAACTGAACAAAAATCCTTGTCAATTTTGGCTAATCTTTCTTTTGTTTTGCTTCTGATGCAGGGTTTCATGTAGCCAAGGCCAGCCTTGGACTCTTGATATTCTTGCCTCCAGCTCCCAAGTGCCAAGATGACAGGCATGGGCCATCCTGTGGCATCTTCATCATCGTCATCATCATGATGTGTATGTGTGTAAGCAATGCATTCTTAGGTGTGCAAGTTAGTGTAAGTTAGGTGTGCAAGTTAGTTGGTTCTCTGCTTACTGGGGTACAAAACTCACGTTGTCAGGTTTGCATGGGGGAGCAGCAAGCCCCCCTACCCACTCAACCATCTTGTCCTGTCAGCCCCATACCTTTTTAACTGGCCTGTGTTAACAGAATCTAGGTCCTCACTTTTTTGTTTGCTGTTTCTTGGCGGTGCTGGCTAGAAGTCCTTGGGAATGCTAGGCAAATGCTCTACCACTGAGGCGCATCCTCAGTCCCAGGCCTGGCTCTTGGGTTTTGGGACACAGTGTTGCTTCTGTAGACCAGGCTAGCCTTGAACACACAATCGTCTTGCTTCAGCCTGCATCCCTAGAGCTGGGGCCACAGGTGTAAGCCATGCAATCTGCCAGGAAAATGTCTTAAGCCTCTAGAGTCCTCAATCCATTTATAGTCACACACCTCTTCATCTACCCAGAGAGCCGCTCGGCGTTAACGTAGTGTCGGAATGGCTTCTCTAGACTCTATTTTGAGCCTAAATGGTTGATTTTCAGGCTGAGCAGAGATGGATTGAAGCTCACATTTTTTTCCTAGCATTTCCCAGATCCATGGTTGGTCATCTAGGCACCGTCCCATCTCAAGCCATCTCGTGTGGAGAGCCTGTTTTCCTTCCCACTGTCAACCAAACCCTTTAATACCAGCGAGCCCATGAGCACTTAACCCTCATCTCTTCTCCCGGATGATGTTTTTTGCCCCAGCATGGCCTCTAAGTTCTCTCTCCTGCTCAGAAAGACATTTCCAAGACTATAAATAAGTTCACCTATGTTTTCTTTGAGAACTTTTATGGTTCAATTTTTTTGTTTGTTTAAATGTTGGCTCCATCTGGAATCTATTTGGGTATAAGGGGTGAGGTAGGGATTCTGTTTTATTTTTTCCAGCTGGCTGACTTCCAGTTATCTCGGCGCCTTGCTTTGAACAATGCATTTTCCTCTCCGATAGGAAGCACCCACCCCCTCCCGTTTCGTTGCTGATTCTGCAGGGCTCCCACCAGCCTCCACCGGCTCCTTTTCCAGGGCTCCAACACTTTCAAAAAAGGCCGCACCTTCCCATTCCCAGCAGCTGAACATCTGGTAAAGCCAGCGTGCCTTCATTCCTTCTGTGTCTCCTTACGTTTTCCCTGGCTGGTCCCTCGTGTTTATTTTTCCAGATGAAATTTGGTATAATTTTGTCAAGTTCCAAAAAATAAAAGAAAATAAAAGCCTTGTTGGTTTAAGACTTCCCTTACCAGGCGGGCTGCGGAGGTTAACCCACTGCCCTTAGTCTGGTTGTCAATCTCTCCTCCCATCCCCCACCCGTTAGTCTTGTCTGTGGCACAGAGAAGCCGTGTTTCCCTATATCCAGATCTGTTGTACTTCCCTTAGAAAGAGTATCTTTGTTGACTTTAAAGCTCTGCTCACTTTTCACGTAAAGGTTCGCTAATCTTCCTAGGGTTTGTTTGTTTTATGAATCGTCTTTGTTCAGCATGCAGGGTAGGTAGGACGAATGCAGTCAAGCTCATCTCTCTCTCTCTCTCTCTCTCTCTCTCTCTCTCTCTCTCTCTCTCTCTCTCTCTCTCTCTCTCTCTCTCTCTCTCTCTCTCTCCCTCTCTCTCTCCTGGGGAAGTGCATGCCACAGCTCACAAGTGGAGGTCAGAGGACAGGTTGTGGGAATCAGTTCTCTCATTCACCATGTGGGCCACAGGATTTGAACTCAGGCAGAGTCAGACTTGGCGGCAAGCCGCTTTACCCACTGAGACATCTTTCCAGCCTTCGGGCTGACTTTCTTATTTGTGGTTCCATTCTCAGTCTTTGTCCCATGCTGACAACTGTATCTTATCTCACGTCCTTTTCTGTCCATGGTGCCTTTCTGCTGTTTCAAGGGAGACACTGTCACACCTCTTTCAACACTCAAGAGTTCTGATTGCTCCCCTTTCCCAAAATACCCTCTGCATTTATCACCCTTTTACTCCTTTAAACAGGCATGACTCACAATAAGAACCCCATGAAGATGGTGGGGGTGCCTGCTTGGGCTGGGACAGCCAGAGTGGCAGGCCCCCACTATGCCAGCTGGGAGAGGACAGGAAGGCCATTAGGAGTCAAATCCCCACAGGAGAACTGAATCTCTTTCATGGCGACGTTGGCGGCTGAGAGAGACTGACGTGGGGATGGCGAAGGGGCAGGAGTGTGTGCTGTCTCTCTCTTAAACTTCCACCTCAGACATCTGTTCTGGGGGCTGTCACCTGTGACTCCTTAGGGACTGCTGCCATCCTCTTCTGTGAAGGAGAAATCTAGGCTGAGGGCCAGGGAGACCCCTCTGACTTGGAAAGAGGTGACGTCGTGTGTGGTTGAGGACAGGGAGAGGGCCCTGCACCCTTTAGTGTGGACCCTGCATCGTCTTTGGGGGTGTCTCTTGAGGGCCACGTGTCAGTAGCGGGTCATTAGCACCTTCTCTTAGTCAGCTGGGGCCTGGGAGGAACGGCCACAGGGCAGCCTTGAGTGGTGCTGATCTAAGACCCGCTGTCCTTGACTGGGATGACAAATCAGGCTAGGCAGGTAGCTGCAGAGGGGGCAAACTGGAAATGTCACTTCCCTGTGATGCAACAGGGTCAAAGGTCGAGTGTCAAGGTGGGGACAAGAAGGTGGGTCCCCCTTTCCACAGGCCCCGTGCTGATGTAAGTGTAGCCTCAGAGTACAAAGATTGCTTTGTTCTTTCCTTTGCTTTCGGCTTTTATTTTAGTCAGCTGAATGCAGGCAAGTGGCTCTGAAAATTTCCTTAAGGAGCACTGCAGCTGCTGGGTATGGTGGCACCTACCTTTAATCTCAGCACGTTGGGGTCAGTGAAGGTGGATGGATCTCTGAATTAAAGGCCAGCCTGGTCTACATTGTGAGCTCCAGGACAGCCAGAGCCACATAGTGAGACCCTGCATCAAAAGACAAAATAAGACCACTGCAGTCACCTGCCCGTCCTCTCCCATTTGCATCCGGACTACTGAATAATGGTGTTTCATGACCGTAGTTGTTTTTGTTTTAATAAAAAAGTTAATTTTACTTTATATGTATGTGTGTTTTGCTTGCCAGTATATCTGTGAACCATGTGTGTTTCTGGCGCCCAAGGAGGCCAGAAGAGGACCCTAGTTTACCTGGTACTG